TGGCAAAGGAGGCTGATGACTGGTGGGTTGCTACTCGCCAGAGACTAGAGGGAATAGATGAGGCTATTACTTGGGTCGTGTTTCCAGGGAATCCCTTGAGAAGTACTAACCAGAGGACGTGCTTGGAAAGAAGGAGATCGAGTATCTGGAACTGAAACAAGGAGATTTGTTAGTAATAGAGTATGTTGTCGAATTTGTGGAGTTGGCGAACTTTTATCCTCATTACACCGAGGGGACAACTAAGTTCTCTACGTGTGTCAGGTTTGAGAATGGCTTGCGTTCTGAGATTAAGAAGGCCATTAGGTATCGAAAAATCTGTAAGTTCTATGATTTGGTGAGTAGTTGCAGAATCTATGAAGAGGATAATAAGGCTCACTACAAGATGGTTAATGACAAGAGAAACAAGCAACAACAAAATCGTGGGAAGCCTTACAATGCTCTAGCTGGCAAGGGAAAATAGAGAGCGATTGAGGGAAGAAGGCTAAGTAGGGGAGATGCCCCTGCTAGCCTTAAATGCTACAAATGTGGAAGGACCGGGCATAGAATTGGTGAATGCACAAGTGAAGCTAAGAGGTGTTTCTGTTGTGGAAAGAATGGTCAGGAGGTAACTGAATGTGATCACAAGCCAACGATATGTTTCAACTGTGGCGAAGAAGGACACATCAGTACCCAGTGTCAGAAACCGAAGAAGACTCAAGCCGAAGGAAAAGTATTCACTTTGGCTGGAACTTAGACATCATGCGGAGATCGTTTGATCAGAGGTATATGTTTCATTAATAGCACTTTTAATACAGTGGGAGAACTGACTTTTATTGGTTTTGCATCTTATCGCAAATGTCGCAGTTAGCAAGAGTCGCCGCCGACTTTTCTTTTATCCAACAATGGAAAGAGTGAAAAGAACAGAAACGACCTTTCAAGATTATTTTCTGAGTAAGGGGGGTAGGTTATGGAAAGGGAACATGTTAACACCATTTCCATCCGTAGTTATCTATGGGCTCTTAGTTGCTAGCTCATTTTGAAAATGCTTTTTTGTGTAAGTGTGTTTTTGAAGATATTTGGAAAAGACGCCTTAGTATGGCGAACTTTGTAATGTTTCTCGTTTCGGCGAGAATGTATACAAAATTTTTTTTTTGCCTTTGAAAATATTTAGAAAATAGTTTGTGTATGTGTGAGAAATTATTTTGTTTGAGCAAGCAACTAGGAGCTATCTACTTACTCGAAAGGTTTGTTCTTTTCCTCTTTTCCTTTAGACAGTGCTATCCTACTATTAGTGAGTAGGTAGCCCTATTGTCAGATGTTTTCAGGGACTAGCGAGGGTTATCATACGGTCAGAGTCAACTAGTAATATATCTTAGTAATTACCCTAGGGTTTTAAGATCATTTTAACGAGGCAACGTTGAAAGGGTCATCGAGGGACTTATGATCTTTTAAACCAAAGGGTAGCCACTAAAATCTCTTAGATCGAGAATCATGACTGTTTATTCCGAAGGCAACAAGTGGGGAAACCTTAGAGGTGTGCGTGTGCGAGTGTGTTGTATTTCAATTATTTATCTTTGGAGGTTAAGTTTGCTAGCGTTTGCTTTTGATCTTATCATGCAATCCTATTAACATACATCTAACAGTAAATATATGTACAGAAAATAAAAATACGGAAATTGAATTTACGCTATTAAATGGCCTCGGGGAGGGGGAGTTACAAATCCAAAACGAGGAAGCAAAAGTAAAAGTCCTAAGTTTAAATTATTACAACCCATATGCAGATACATATTATAAAAAATGTGAAATTTAAACTGAGCGCGCGAATATAGAAACAGAGGTAAAAACCCTAAAAACTCCTAAACACTTAGAATAATTTTGTTGTTTTTTATTGGTTTTAAGAAAATACTTAAATTAACTAAAATTAATATTAAAAAAAGTAATTATTAATTGAAATTAATTCTAAGCGATAAAAGAAATTAATTCTAAAATTTTTTCATTTTTATTTGGAAAAAGACTTTAAGTCAACAAATCTAATTCTAATTGGTTTTAAATTAATGAAAAATAATTAAGTAAATTAATTACTTAATTTACAAAATTTAAGTTTAACTGTAAAAAACCTAAAATCTATTTTTTGTGACTTTTTTCTGGTTTTATCATAAAACAAAAATAGTTTTGAAAATAATATAAAATAAATAATTAAATCTAAAATAAAGAAAAGGAAAGGAAATAATGTGGGCCTGATGTGAAGCCTAAAAGGGGGGGGGGGTGCATGCTTGAATTTGCTAAGCCCAACTAGAAAGAAGCCCAGGGTACTGCATGCTTCAGTGTTGTTGACTCTTTTAGGGTTTAGCATGAACGTTATAATCTGAGGCGCTAGATCTGCTGTTTGATGGATCCAAAGATGATGAGGTGATAGCGCATGGTGTACGTGTTTAGCCTTAGAGTACTGAATCTGCAAATGAAATTTTGAAAAATAATATGGCAAGAGGCAGGGATTGAACCCTTGCCCTTTCCTTTTGTAACGCCTTAACACCTCTTGCTTTTACTGCTGGACCAAATCACTCAATCGTTAGTATAATAGAATGATAATAATATAATGATAAGTCAAGTCCATTTCCAGATGTCAAACGCGCGCCAGTAATATTTTAAATGGACCAATGGAAACGCGCGATCTTGCTAGCAGACCCCCAACGAAGTTAACACCGGTCAGAGACGCTGGAGCAGATCTCCGGTCGTCTTCTCCAGCCATATAAAAATGGGATCTGCAAAAATACGCAGAATCAAAGCCACAAATTCAGGCTACCGCCCTATTTCGCATGCTACGAGTTTAATCACGGCACTGGCTTGACCTAAAATGACCTGTATTATCCTGCTAGAAGCTTGGCCATTTTGAAACCCTAAAAATGGCAACCTGCATTCTAAGCCTCAAATGGAGGTGGCTCAGTTGGCCAGTTTCAGGCAGCTTCAAGCATGGATAAAGGATGATATAGCCTCCTGGGAGCCTCAGGAGTAATGCTTGAACCCACTAATTTCTAACAATTGACTTTTTTTATGCTTTTATTTTATGCTCTTTACTTTATGTACCACTTACTTTTTGCATTTACATTTCATGCTATTTTCATCTTTGCTCACTTGTGCATTTACTTTTATGTCATTTTTATTTTGCTCACTTGAGCTTTTCTTTTCCTTTAAAAGATACTGAATAATCAACATGAACCATAAAAAGTATTAATGATACTCGAACTATTTGGTTACTATCCTTGGCATTATGGAGTGATGGACTTCTTGGACTTAGGATTAGACACTTTGGCTTATGTTGGAGACCTTGTGACCTTAATGGATATTTTGTCTGGAGCTCTTGAGGTTTACCTCAAGACATTGGGTTGTTTGTTTGTTTTGTGTGCAGGTTATTGTGATTACATACTTTGTCTGTAATCTGGAATTCACCCGTATACAATTGTTACTCTTCCCAATTTTTTCGAAGACTTAATACACTTGAAGTTTGGTCTTCTCAAGGGGTCTAGTATCTTTGCTTGCTTGGTTTCAATCCAAATAATGAGAATTCTATCTTGACCCATAATGTCAAGTATTGGCTTCTTGTTGATTAGATGGTTCTTCTCCTTAGCTTTTATCTTATGCTTTGGGATAGTCCCTTCATCTCCTTCCATCTTCTTTAATTTTCAAAACCTTCTCATCTTTTTAAAAACCTTCTTTGTTTATAAACTCGAACCATTTTCATAATAAACCTCGACTTTGTCGAGTGCCTTTTCTTTTAAAACTTCTTTTCTTTAAAAAACCTCAATTCATTTAATCATACTTTGACATCTTTCAAAAATTAACAAAAACACTTCAACTCATTCAAACTCTTTTGTGCGCTCGAGCACCTTTTACATTCAATTTTTTTTCCAAGGTGAGACATGATTCATTGATAGTCGAGCAACATTCTCCTATCCCTAATGTTATAAAGGTGTCGACTTTTCCACTTGAGTACTAGATGCGTTCTCAAACCCTCACTCTTGCTGACGCATGGTCCATCTTTCTCACACCTTGTGGGAGTTAGTCGAGATTTCTCTCCTAACAATGACAACTTGTCTCCTTGTTTAAAATCAATCAACAAACAAGTCTTTTCTAGCCGAACTACGGTGCTCTGACTTTCCCATTGCACGAGGGAGTACGTAGGCACTAAGTCTTACGACCCAAGGCGAGCAACAAAAATAAAAAAACATTTCATTTTCTTTTGTTTACAAATACTCATTAATTCTTTTCCTTTAGAAAGTAAACCTTTACATAACACTCATTTTAAAAGAAACCAAACAAAGCGTATCCTGCGGAGTACCGTAAATGCTTAGGGTGCTAACACCTTCCCTTTGCATAACCGACCCCCATACCTCATCTCTGATCTTTTTGGGTTTTGTTAACTTTTTTCCCATTTCTCTTTGGAAACAATAAAGTGCGGTGACGACTTCATTATATTGAGATAAGTCAATTGATGACTTAATCTCAAATATTTACCGCTACATTTCTTTTACATATCATCACTGTCGCAATTTATTTTACATATCACCACTATCAAATAATTTATCTATATTAGGCAGGGGATAAGCATTTTTGGGGCAATCCCTATTGAGATCGGTATAGTCAAGGTGTCATACCCCAAATTTTCCCGCCTTAGTGCTAACGTCAAACTTATTTTCGAATTTGGGTGTTACAGATATAAAATTCTTTTGATTTAATTATATTAACCTTATGAGTTTTTTAAATAAAAATTTGCTTTCAAGTCTATTTGAAAATATAATAATTATTTGTATTTTTGTAAAAAATAGAAAATAATTATTAACTATCATGTACTTTTAATTGGATTTTTACTTTCGAATAAGCAACCTAACACAATTGATAAGGGAGAAAGACTGACAAGCAGAAGGTCATAGAAGCAACACAATACAATCTGAAAATTGAAGGAAAATAAGAAAATTGAAGAACCCTTCAAAGCCGAACTACGAAAATGTAATCACTGCCAAAGGATGTCGTCGCCGCTACGACATGGAACACCATCTCCTATCTCCACCCACCAGCAGCCGATCTCATCCGCGATCTCTCCCTCCGTCAGATCCAGATCCACAACAGATCCACCATGCTGCCACTGTCTCCGTCACACAATGCACCGACACCCCGCGTCCTCAAGTCCGCGATACCACGTCCCTCCACCGCCATCTTCCTCCGTCAGCGATTCCGCCATGATCATCATTAGAGGTTACAGTTTCTTTTCCATGCTTTTGTTTCACGTTGGTTTTAATTGTTTGATTTTGCAAGGAGAAATGAGTCTGGTTTTTATGAAGAGAGAAGGGGATTAGCTAACAATGAAGAACAAAGAAAAATATATACAACTTGATTGTCTTTCTTGATACTAATGCTTTTTGTTTATTGCTTTTATTTTACTTTTTAACTTTGCCAAGTGTCGCACGCTGATTCGCTTTGGAATTAGTCAAAAGAGGTAACATAAGGGGGACGGTACAACCCCTTAAATTGGACCTTCACATTTTTAATCACTTTATTATTTCTCTTATATTTTTATTAATTATTTATTTAATTAGGTTAGAATTAAGGTAAGTTAGAAATATATTGGGGTTGGGCTTCATGTTACTAATTAATACCTCATTTCAACTTACACTCACTTCAGATTTTGTATGTTATTTAATTTTTTCCATTAAGAATAAGATACAAAATATAAATTCTTAGTTAATTAGATATTTAATTTTAATTATAAAAATACTAAAAAAAAACATATGATTTTAGTTTTTTAAGTAATTAATTAATTAATTCAAACATTTCTCAAATATAATTAATTCGATATTTTACAAAAAAAAACACACGCAATTCACCAATAAGCGACACATGACCAATATCTGGTCACATGGTGAGGAAGACTATATCAGACTTCCTTTGCATCCTTCATAACGAGATGCACGAAGTCAATATCTGACCGCATGGTGAGGAGACTATATCAGACTCCCCGCCTTACGTCTCAAAACAGCTAACCAGCAATTCAAACGTTTTTTACTAACATAACAAAACCTCAAGATATTTTCAAAAAGGATTAAATAACATCATCTTCGAATCAAACTATGAACTGCGTCTATGATCACTCAACTTACAACCCATACAAGGTTCAAGGTTAACTCGAAAGCAATTCTACATAATCCATAAAAAACACCAACCAACTACGAACTACGAATTGAGACTCTGATTCCTCATAAGAGGATACCTAGGCATATGATCAAAAATTGTAGCGAGTTCTCCTATAAAAGAATTTAAACCATTTCCTCCCAATTAAAATTAAAAACCATGTTTACCCCAAGCCTAAACCTAAAATCTAATATCCTTGTGAACAAGGTAGATGAAATGTGCCTAACACCTTCCTTTCGTCTAAAGAAGTCCGAAACCTAGAATCTTTGTCTGCGAATTAGGGTTTTTTTGTTAGATTCCCTTCCCTAGGATAAAAACTAATAATGGAGACTCTGATTTAAAAACTAGTCACAACACAAGGCACATGCGCCATTTTCCATTATATTTCTTTATGAGCACTACATTAGAAAGCCAGATTGTGTACTGGGCTTCACAAATAAAATTTGTCTCTAGGAGGTCTTTTAGAGCTTTCTCGTCAACCTCCATTTTCTATGGGAACTATCATCGCCTACGCTGGGAAACTGCCTTAAGGGCAGGATCTATCGTCAGATGATGGAAAGCTATATGTGAATTCAAGCCGAGCATTTCTACTGTGCTCCAGGCGAACAAGTCTTCCTTTTCCCTGAGGAACGCCTTCAGCTATCTCATTGCCAAGTCGGGGAGGTCAGCACCGATTTGTACTCCTTTAGAGTGGTCGCTACCGAGGGGAGTGATTTTGAACTTCCCGTCTAGGATTGGGCGTACAGGGTGTACAGACTCCTTGCTGCTCGTGTCGAGGAAGAGATTTCTATGTCTAGTAGGGACTTTTTCCCCTTAATCTCCTAATCTCAGAGATCTTTTTTTGTGAACCAACTATCGAGGTCGATTGTGTCGACGTGCGACAGAGGTTGTGCTTCCTCGGAACTATTAGGAAGGACAAGTCTATTGGCTGTTCTGGGTTATATGTTGATGGAGCTTAAGCCTTTAGCAGTTGCTTCAAAGCATCTTCTTGCTGCTTGTATATCCTGTGAAGGGTTGCGACGAGTCCTTGCTTGGTGTAGTATTTCATCTTCATGTGCATGGTGGAGTGCACCACTTTCAGTTCAGTCAGGGTAGGCCTCCCAAAAATATACTAATACAATGATTGGAAGTCCACCACGAGGAACCACGTCTTGATTAACTTGGCTATTTCTGCCACCCTAAATGCAACGATCATCTCGACATATCCTTAAGGTTTGGTGACAGAGCCATTGAATCCCTAGAGGTCATAGCCCACATAAGGGGTCAAGTGAGTCTTGTTCAGCTGTAAGGTGGTGAAAAATTAGGAGTACATGACATCAATAGAGTTGCCTTAGTAGACCAAGATGCGCCTGACATCGAAATTTTCCATTCGTGCTCGGACGAGCAAAGGGATGCTAGAATTGGGAGCTCTGTCGGGTAACTTCTCTCGGTACAAAGCAATGGGGATGGAGCTTCCTCTGATTTTATTGAGGGTGGCATTCTTGTCGGAGCTAGCATCCCTAAGTTGCTCGAATCTTCTCTTGGCTGAGCCTACCATACATTTTTTGAAGCCCCTGCCATATATAACCATTACTGCTTGAAATGTCTCCCAAGGACTGTGGGTTGAGAAGTACATATGGACTTCATCCAGGTTGGGGAAGTAGAAGTCTTCTGGTCGGGTGATGCTCAAGGAAACGGGCATGAGGCTCTTGTTGGGGGAAGGCTTATCCTCTTCCACTTTCTTGGACTCTTGGGCGTCCCTGCAGGCACCTTACTTCTTTTTATATTGCTTGAGATTCCCGTCTCGGATGAGTATCTCAATGACATCCTTCAGGTGGATGTAGTCTTCTGTATTGTGCCCGTAACTTTTATGAAATCGGCAGTACTTGCTTTTGTCCGTACCTGGATTGGACGGTGTTTTTCGTGGTCAGTGAACCCCGGCTTGTCGAAACTCCGAGTTTGCGCATTCGGTCATAATACGCTCGCGTGAAGCATTTAGGGGGGTGTAGTCGTGGAAACAACCAACATGCCCCTTGTAGTCTCTTGAATGACGGGGTTTGTCCTCCATTTTCTTCTATGCTCCCTGACGGGATGTCGAAGGCTCATCATTCTTTGAAACATTTGCATTCTCACGATGTTGCGAGTTACACCCGTTGTTAGAAACCTCTTTCTCCTTGTACTCGATGTACGCATATGCTTTGAGTAGGAGGGAATCCAACGTGGCAAGAGCTTCTATGCCAAATTCTTTGACGAAGTCACTACGAGGGCGTAAGCCTCGCTCGAGGAGGTACTTCTTCATCTTGTCGATCGTGGTGACCTGGACGGCTTCCTGGTTGAACCTTTTGATATATGTTCAGAGGGACTCATCCTTCCCCTGGATGATGGCCTCGAGCGAAGCTTCTGATTTGGGTGTCGGTGAGATTTTTTAAAATTTCTGGAGAATTGTCTCCCCAAGCCCTTCCAAGAAGTGATTGACTGATCGGGGAGATTCTTGTACCAAGCCATGGCTATCTTTCTGAGCGTTATCGGGATGAGTCAGCATTTGATTGCCCATTGACATCCTCTGTAGTCGAGTAGAGCATCAATGTTCTTGATGTGCTCATCCGAATCTGCTGTCCCATCGTATGTCCCCAGGTGCGGGGGTTTTTCCAGACCGACAGGAAGTGGGGTCTCCATGATTTCTCTAGATAATGGGACGTGGGGCTCATCATCATCGCTACGATCAAGAGATGCTGACAGAGAGTAGTTATTTCTTCCTCGCTAGGGGTTTCCGTCCTGGCGGGGATAAATGCTCCTCTAGCGGCGCTCCGCCTTGGGTGATGGTGAGTTGTTGTCATCTGGCCGTTGAGTACCCTCATCTTTTTGGTGATCAGGGAGCATCGATCTTTCTGGGGAGGGGTGCGACCTCGTTTCTTGAGAAACAAGACTTCTTGCTTCTCTTGTGGAGGACGGCGGCCACACCTTGACGGTGATGGACTATAGGAGTCATGTCATCGATATCTCCGAGGAGGAGTGTTGTACCCCAAATTTTGACCTAACATACCATCTCCCATCTGCATCATTCGCATTGTAAGGGTTTTGACCTATTTTATCAAATTTTTAAAGCAGTGTAAAAATTCATAACTGCTTCGAGTCGAGAGCTATTTATTTGTTGAACGCTAAATTTATTAACTGATCAAGACTTAAATGACGTTTATTAATTATTTATTATCTTAAATTTAAATAATTGGAATCTATTTTCAATTGTTATATAATTTAAAGACTTATGAATAATGAAATAAACATTTTGAGAATGGGTTTATTAATTGGTCAACAATGATTATTTAATTCTTTATCATTCTAGGTTAAATAATTAAAATTCTATTTTTTTAATTATTATAATTTAGAATATTATGAATAATGAATTAAATAATTAAAATTGTTAATTGGCCAATGATGTTTATTTATTTGTTTATCATTCTGAATTTAAATGATTGGATTTAATTTTCAGTTATTATATAGTTCAAAGAATTATAAACAATAAATAAATAATTGGAAAGAAAAAAGAATTAATTGGGAAATAATAGAATTTTATTCACTTTATTCTATTTATTACAATTATCATTTAAATATTGCGTTATTACAAAATATTTATAATGGCAATTACATAAATGCTTAAAGTAAAATAAAAAACTATTTTCCTAAATTCTAAATCTTCATCTTCTATCCAATGCCCTTTTGTCTGCATTTAATTTTACCTGCAAAAATAATTAAAAGAAAAGTCAGATTTGAATAAATAATTAAAAGCAGAAAATAAATTTAATGTTCATCATTAAAGGCAAACGGCTGGAATCAGTTTACCCTTTTTTTGCAAATCACAGGATTTCTCCCGGTTCACAAAAAAGGGAGGAATTTTATTTCATAAATGAATGCACAATTTTGAAATATGCACAAATTCATTTCTATTTTTTCAAAACTAAATATGCAAATTTCTTTGTCACAATGTATATTTCAAATCATACACAACATACAAATACAACATATGCCATTTCCCACAAGCAATGCAACGTAACCTATGCAACTTAAGAAGAATCCAAATAACATAGGCTCCCATGCAAGACAAAAAGAATTATGCAGTTTCAAAACAATGTGCAAGCAACATATATTTCCTTTTTCATCATGTTTCAGCCTATGCCTTTTCAGAACAGCA